CTCTGACTTTTCTAAATCAAAGACAGTGGACAACCATGATCTCTGAAAGACCCTTTTACTACCTTTGAAACATGTCGAGGAGCCACTCTGTCTTTCCATTGCTTCATCTAAAAGTGTCAACATTCCTTAAAGGAGTCCATGAGATCAACTCTCCTGAGAGTCCTCGCTCAGGTAAAGTCCAACATGACCATTGCTCACAGACACACACATATGGCTTCTGTGCACACGGTCCCTGAAACACTGAGCCTGCGTTCTGGCTCGTTACCCCTGTGTCATGTGATATCTGTTCGGGTTTGTTTCACTCAAAAAGAGGGAACAAGTGAACAAGACGGAGAGGTTAAGAGAAAGATTGATAGCCACCATCTACTTGGACAATGTATCATCTGCCATTGTCTCTGTTGCCAAAACACAGTGACTGCCGCTACAGCCCGTTAAAATGTCACTGCTAATGATGTGGGTTACGCTGCTAATGTAACTAATGTGTTGCTCCTATGGGGTTTGGTATCCTGCCCAGGTCAACCCCGTGCCTGTAAAACGTGAAGATGGAAGAATGGCTAATTGTTCCTCATCTGCTGTTAGGCCTAGGTTTAGAGAAGAAAAAAATATACTAAATTGAGGTTGAAATAAATTTCAGGCATTTTATTTAAAGCTGCTTTAATCAATATCTTACATTAATAAACGATCAAGAGAATACAAGTGATGTGAAAGGAATCACTCGTATTGATAAATCCACAGAAATCTTTCATCCAATTCTTTCTTCAGCTTCACTGTTTCTTCAGCTGTTTTGGTTTTATGGATGGCAATGGGGTTTTTTTGTTGTTGTAATTTTCTTTTTTTTGGTTTGTTTTTACAAAAGGAAGAACATACATACATACGTGCCAATCCATTTCCAATAAAGTGTACATCATACATCAAAATATACACCGAAAACGAAGGACACAGGAATATAACATTTTTACATTATTATAGTATCATGCATATTGTACATGATATACTGTATGTCATGTATCAAATTATACATCAGATTATGTCAACTAAACAGTACCTCAAATTATACATATCATAAAGAACATTACCTTATATCATTATTGGAACGGGTGCAACTATCAGCTTATAATATATGGTCTATCATGGGAGAAGATTTTGACAAAAAATGAGCTAAAAGAGAGAGGATAATGAAGTTACATTTGTCAGGTATATAGCAATATCAACTTTGTAAGGTGATAATATTTTAATATTGTGTTTACAACTTATTCTGCTGCCCCAAAGTGGTTAAAAAATAAATCATGACAGCACACACATATAATAAACTCATACTGAATGTTCTACAAATAATCAAATTAAAGGCAGCCCCTGTATCACTTAAACACATTAAATTACTGAACTTTTCAAAACTAAGTAGTGATTGGAGAGCCTGATGGTGGAGAAACAATCAAGTGAGCCAGTATGCTACTTGAATGCACTCATCAGTGCTGGCCCACTCTCTGGAACACTGACTCACAGAGAGAGAAGGAGGGAGCTGGGATCTCCTTACTCATTCCAATAAAAGCCACAAGAAACCAAAAGAACCAGGAGACAACCTGTTTGTGTTATTCCCGCAGGTAATCCCACGCTCACTAGTGCATGGCCAAGCAGACCATTGCGAGGAACACAGCAACATTGCTCGTTTCTTGGAGGCTTCTCTTTGCTTACTGGGTATCATTGTCTCCGTCTCCCACACTTCTCCGACTATTTATTGTGCTTATTTAAAATATAGTCATCTTGCCTAAAATGGTAAGCTGATCTAAACAGACAGGCCATGGCCAAGTTTGGCATGTGCCACTGAAGCGTATTCACTGAAATTTACCTCTGAAATCAGTGACGCATCCTGCGGCTTTTGTTGGCATGATAAACCACACTCGAAAGGCAAAACAAGTGGATGCCCGAAACAATCAGCCCTGAGAGAATCCAACAGAAGTACCTGATACTTATTAGCTTAATGTGCTAACAAAGTCCTCAGTGCTCTGCTTTTCCATTTAACTGATGTGTACAAGAGGCTTGATTCTCAGGTGAGTCAGTCTCAAGTGGGTCTGACTTGGATGGTTTACTCAGGGTGTTGAGTCTCCTGGGAACTAAGGGATAGGATGTCAGCTGCTGCTTCCTGCTTTAGCCAGTAACAGGAACTGGCTGCGTTCCAGTGTGTTCCTGAGTGTGTGTGTGTGTGTGTGTGTGTGTGTGTGTGTGTGTGTGCTGCCAGACAGAAGACTGGGCAACAAGCCCAGGTACAGCAGAGCCCAGGTGTTCCTCTATGAAGAACACAATGAGCGTGTGCAAACATGGAGGGACAGACAGGCAAATGGAGAGGGATTGGTATCAGAGAGCACACCTGTTGAGCACCTGCCCTATCCGCTCATGACACACTGATTATGGATGCAGCAGTTGTAAACACACACACACACACACACACACACACACACACACAAATCCCCAGAAACTTGCAAATTTTTTCCCCGCAAATCACAAATACTGTAACACCGTAGAGACGGAGCGGCGATGTCTTTAGTGTCAGTGAGTGAGAGTAAGTCATAGTTTTCTCTATCAGACCTCAAACTACTTTTGAGCCTTTGCAACTTTAAGTCTCTATCTCCCTGCCCTCCCTGCCTTTCTCTGATCTCCCGCTGAGTTCTTCGGTCTCTGTGTCATTAGGCAGCGCATCAGGGATTAAGACGGCGATGGGAGGAGGTGATTCACAGCAGAATCCACTAAGTCTGGCATTACCACACACCTCACAAAGCACAGGGGAGTTTCTAATCCACAGCACAGCGCAATCCTGCTAATGCATTCATATCAGACACATGGGCAACAGAGGTCGGAGAGAATTAAACACCAAAGTATTACTGTCAAGTTCAGCGTCGACATGGTCATGTTTGTTTTTCATGCATTTAGGTAATGCAGTGGATAGGTAGGAAGATCATCTGTAGGACAAAGATATGTATGAAAAACAATGCAGAACTACATGTTTGTGCTGCACAACAATATTCTACATCACTCACAGCGTAGAGAATAATATAATCATTAAAAGTTATTTCAAGTATGCAACCCAGCCCTCAGAGGAAAAGATACATTTTGGCTTTTATGTCTTCCCTCCTCATGACCCTCTGACTCTGGATGTATGCACCAAAGTCCCTTACATGATATAAATCTACATATTTTAATTTTTAAGCAGAATTGCAGTAGCAGTAAAAGAAATGCAGTAAAGCGGTAAATCAGCGAGAGGGGGAAGAAAAAAGGGGGGAGGTGGGGGGAGAGAAAGAGGGAGGAGACATTATGTGTGAGACTAGCGGTAGTACTTTGTGACATGCATCATCAGTCCTGTCTTCTCGCTATATCTCCCTAATGGGAGCACAGCAGTGTGTGTGTGAATGTGTGTGTGTGTGTGTGTGTGTGTGTGTGTGAGAGACAGAGAGATATAGAGAGAGAGAGAAGGAGCAATGAGTCTCTTTGTCAGAGAGACTTGTAGAGACTGTGTGTGTGTGTGTGTGTGTGTGTGATAGAGATAGGGACTAAATGAGCTCCTAGCGGGACTGACCCTCCTCACTTCTCACCGGTCCGTCAGAGAGACTGAGCGCTCCACTAGAGCATGGCCACAGGCACGGTGCTGAATACTGAAAATACACACTCATACACACAGATGAACACACTCAGGAGAAAAGCAGCTGCACAAGCCCTCTGTATGCTCACATACACACAAGCACACAAGCGCACACACACACATGAAAACATGGCATCAAAACAGAGGTAAACGCCATTTTAGAAACTTAACAGAAAATACACTGAGGGCAATGTGCATTTACGTTCACATGACGTCATGGTATGGGCTGAAAATGTGACAAAATGCATGTGTTTGTCTAAAGCAAATACGATGAGAGCCAAACCTAGCATGCTCCAAATGTGCAGTGTCGGGTTCACCAGCAGTCATAATTATGATTCATGCCATGCACGTATGAGAACGTTTCCTACTGCCCAAGTGTGGGAAAGTGCAGCAACATTACATATTGTATGTGGGTGTGTGTGTTGTTGCATATGCAAGTTTTGGGCTAAGTATAATTACTCTTGGTGACATACCTCACATGACTAATGAGTGGGATTTGGGCGCGCGGCGTCTAGCTCATTTGTCACAGGATGGTAGGTAAAGCTTCAGTGCTTCAGCTGTTAAGGTCGTGCTAAACGCTCCTACAATGCTACTGCCTGATTAATTTCATGTGTTTGACTTGCAGAGCACAGAAGTCAGTGAAACGTCGTCAATTAGCAGAGATATGTCACATGACATGTACTGACGTCACACTTGTGTCATTTTGACGTTGTTAACCCTGCTGTGTGTATTTTGAGCCCAGAGCAATATCTCCAATCTGCAGTGTCAACATCCTCACATTTGCACTTGTTGACACACAAGCAGCCTTGCTCTTATTAAGGAAAGGCCATGACATGACAAGTAGGTAAATGAAGACATTACTATAGTCAATACAATTTAATAACCAATCACTGATAGAACAGTGTTGTTTATGGTTTGTGATTGAAGCGACCTAAGAGAAATAATGGCAGGCTTATACCCCATAAAAGTAAATCTAAGGGTTTTTTTATTCATTAAGTTTTAAGACTCAAAGTAACAACTACACCTGCATTTAACAGTGAAATATAAAACTTAATAAAGACGTATAAAACATTACTGGTAAAATGTCATGGTGTTATCTAAAATATACATCAGCGGCTATTGTGCTTCAAATGCAGCCCTTACTTTGTGTTATTTAACATTTACAGTTATAACTTAGATATGTTCAAGCATTTGAAAAGATCTCATACTGCTGGCTGTTGATGCTCACACCACCTTCCCTGTCTGCATTAGAGTCATTAGCTAAAGGATTCACTTTAATACCCAGAAATTTAAAGAACATGCCATTTACTCTAATGTGACGCCAGAAGCTTAATAGTTAAGAGCAATAACGTTCATTCAAATAAAGATATTGAAAACTGAAAAGGTCCTTTAATCTTCTGTCACATTATGCATTATATTTCCTTACAAAGAGATACATGATTTTAAAAGCAATTCAACAAAAGAAATACAGAAAACTTATTCATAAAATATCACACAACATCCTGTAACCGAATCATAATAACAAAGCAAACTGTAAAATGTTTATATACCATACAAACCAATTCGATTACAGCACTAACCATTACACTACTGTGAAAAATAGCTTTCATCTCATATTTCCAAACGTGGGTCTGAATAAATAGGTTGTGCTGCCAGATATTTTCCATTGTGCCGATGTCAGAGCTCTTGTAGTTAGTAATGGTGACCTTTTAGATAGCAGGTGTCATGTATGAAGGTCTTTTAGGTCGGGCTATCTATTGTCACACATGTGAGTGGCCCACAGTGGTAGAGGAGGGGGGTCTAGATGCACCGAGGCCTGATAAAAGCAAGTGGGTGAGGGTACGGGTGCATGCTTATCATAATGGTTTCTTGCATATGTCGTCTTTTTTACAAGAGGTCGGGAGGTCATGGGAGAAAGAGGAAAAAAAGGCAGAAACTGAAACCTCGAAATCTGTCTCATATTTCGAGAATCATGTCAACCAAAGAACAGGGCACAGACACAAGACTGTTTTTAAAAGCGACTCGGAGGGAAAAAAACATGTTTGGAATGAAAGACGTCACAAGGCCTCTTGTGTGTTGGTATTGGCCGTTCGTGTGTTACACTAATGTAAAAGAGTCGTATCCAAAACAGTACAAATTGCCTTTTAGACAACAGTATTGCTATTGCTAGTTAGGGTTGATGTGTGCTCAGAAAAACATGGAATAGAAATTGAAAAAAAAAAAGATGCAATTTCAAACAAAAACACAAAGCAAATGGACTAAATAAAAGCCCCTAACATGGCACTCTTTTTCTAACAAAGAATCTCTCTCAAACAGTGCAAGCACTCGGACTGAAATAGTTAATGGAAGGTCAGTCCTTGTTCCTTAGCAGAACCAGTGCACAAAGCAGTGGGGTGAAGAGGCCTTTATATTGCAACACATCAATACATACATCTGACAAGGACAATTATCAAGGTGTTCCTTAGGAGAAACATATAGGCTGACCTATATTCAGTCATCATTCATCTCTGTAATTTCCATTCAAATGACAGAACAGGATCATATTTGTAATGCTAATCCTGCGGATGTCTGCACTCGCGCTGCAAGCGTGTGCGGCAGGTACAATGTGTTGTTCTGTATTCTGCACACATGTTCAATCAGGACGAGGGCTTTGTGGATTCTAATCTCACACTTTGTGATCTCCAGATATCCGAGAGGAGAGGTTTGTGCACTGGAATGTGAGGCAAGTGTTTGTCTCGATGTGACGAGAGGTTCAGCAGGAGATTTACATTTTTCTATTAGTGGAGACAACAGTGGGACGTGACTCCGCAGAATATGATTAACGGAGCTTGGTCTCGACTGTAGTTTGGAAGACTTGTTAAAAAAAAAGAGGGTCGCTCGCTTTGCTGAATGTAGATTTTGCAGCAGAATGTTTTACAAGAGGTCACTGACTTTTTCAGAGAATGAGAAACAAAGCTATACTGTTAGATCTGAGCTCAGGAAATAAAACAAAAACAAACAAAAAAAATAAAAATTGGGATGTAGAACTAAATAATAAGTGCCAATATAATAATGATTATAGTTTCATTGTGCGTTCCCATGCAGGAAATAAAGGTAAAGATATTTAATATCTACATATAAAACAAATGTCAAAAATGGCCTGAAACTTAGTTATTTGATGCATTGTGTAATTTCTCCTGAGGAGGAAGTTCATTGTCACAGACTGTGTTGACTAGTCCCAAACTAACACAGGACTTGTGTGTTCTAGCTCTTTATTAATGGCCATTAGGACACAGTCATTTGATTGCATGTATTCATTTTTCCGCTCGTCCTCATGTATGAAGGGTGTGAAGACAAGAAGCAGTCGGCACTCTGTCCACTTCTTACTAGTCCATATCCACGTCCAGGTTGATCTCAGTACTCAGGTTGAGGTAGAAGAAGGCATACACACAGAGGACAAACAACAGGATCGCTGCGATGACCAGGAACGCATCCTGAGAAGGAAAGAGAGAAGGTTGTAAGATGCAGTGTTCCTCTATACAACTGTTTATATATCTGCCTCATCTCTTGTCTGTCTTCACGCACAGTCGCAGCTCTACTTTGTTTAAATGTTCTGTATTAGGCTTATTTATCAGTGCTGTTATGTCTATATTTGCCAAGTCCCTATTGTCTGTCTTTTCATCAGAATTTGCTGCATTCCTAATAGACTTCTTACCAGCTTGATGTTCTGTATAAGAATATATTGTTTATTACCTTGTTTTGCAAAGTAAAACTGTGTTTCTGAATGTGCGGACAAGTGTAATCAATCATGACACTTTTATTTCAGCCATTTATGTAAAAATTTGTTTTTTTATACAAAAGATACAAAAACAGATCAAGTCTGGTCCACACTACACAGTACTAAACACTGCATTACATTTTCTGTCCACACATTGAAATGTTTAAACAACAGAAAACTGTCTAAATGTCCTCTCTACAATGCTGTTAACGGGTTGAAAACTATTTGAGCCTTTAGACACTGCTAGTTCTTTGTTTTGAATCCAACTTGATTTGCAATCACTTTTTTTGTGTTTCATTACAATTGATCACACCATACAGACATTTTCACTGACTATTCTGTAATTATAGTCAGTGAAAATGTCTGTATTTCTTGAATTGCTGCATTGAGACCTCAATCAATCCTACTTTAATCAAGTCCTAATATTTAATATTTGTGCAGTCACTTTCCTGTCCACACAACAACCCAACGCCGGTGTTTTTAAAGCAATCCACACTGAAGAGCAATTTTTTTTTTTTTTAAAGCTTTGTTTACAGCACCAGTCATCACAAGCTAAGGGCTGATTGAAGGCCAAAAGAGGCAAACAGATGTGTTTTCAAATGTACCTGCATTTGTGTGGAAATGGTTTCAGACTCTTAAAAGTAAACCAGATTCCCACAGTAGGTGTTCCCACTCTGATGGACCCATTTGCACATTAATGACACAAACTTTGAGGGATTAACTGTGGGAAATCGTTAGCTGATGAAATGAAAGTAGTCGGGTGATGCTGACAGTAAATACAGTGCAGTAAAATAACAACATACATGTTCTATTGTGCATATTTATATCAAGTAAAAGAAAAAGCCACAACACAGTGTTAGTTATGGTGAATTAGAAAGCTGCCGTGCCTCCCCCTGTGCCAGGGCTAATGTTAGGTTAAGCTGCCAGCTTTGAGACACTTTTCCACAAACAATAAACATTGGATATACTATTTATTGGGGGTTTGTATAGTTTAGTTTGGGGTTAAGTGTGACATTACATTGCATACCTCTAAAGAATGAATCATTGGTTTGTTTCAGGTTTTCTCTTGATGCAAAGAGATTAATTGGAAACATACTGTAGAGCAAAACTGGAGCAATATTCAAGAAAAAAAAAACCTTTCATAATGTACAGTATCACATTTCAGAAACCAAGCACTGAGCGACCGCATTATAATCTATTCTATCTATAATCAGTCTCCACAGTTCTCCTGCCATTTTAACTGAGAAGTTAAACTTTCCTCAACAAAATGACCTATTTTTTTTAGATTTTCTATTGGTTAATTGTCAAACAAATTGAGGCTTTCCAGAGGAGTGGCATTCAACTTGAAAATGGGAATTTGGAGCGCTCGTTCATTATGTGGTGCTCACTCGATTACAATCTTCATCAGCTGGAGTTTCATTAGGGCCACTCAGAGTATTGAACAATGCCAGTTATTCTTTATCAAGAGAACTCATTAGCAGCAAACTTTCTAATCAACACTGGAGAGCTTGGAGAGCTTTAAAAGAGAGCTGAGTACAGTCTGATTGGGGGTTATTCAAAAAGAAATATTTGATTTGAACATGGAAATTAGTTTTTACATCCAAACTGGGCCACAAAAACAAAGGTGACATGACACAACATATGACTGTAATCTGAAATAACACAATACAACGTGTGATTCCAATTGCTGCAGATATCTATAATCTTATTCGGCTATTTATGGATTATTTAAGACACTTGGTGGAAAAGCTATCTGAACCATGTTGAACTAAATCAGTCTGTAATGCCCCATTATGCCATATATTCATGAGTGACAGGCTGGGGTGATAGAAGGTTAGCGTGTTCGAAAACAGGAAAGCAGCAAACAAATCAAAAGAACCCTGACAGATGTAAAATAAATAAATAAATAAAAATAAAACAGAAGCAAACAAAAAAATATGAATGACAATTTGAGGAAACATCAGTTCAGTAATTGCCATACGTAGCACGCACACACAAAGAGGACTGCAAATTCAACCCAGTGGCCAAACTGCAGAGAGAAAAGACAGAATGAAAAACAAGAGTGAGAACAAGCGAGAAAACAAGTGAGAGATAAGGCTCATCACAAACGAGGGGTGGTGGGGGGCTAATAATAATTCCTCTCTGACAAACGGGGTAGGAATGGGATGGAGGGAGGGGGGGTGACAATTAAAAGGCGTCACAGCATCCACAGCTATCTGTGTACACGTTGTAGTGCCTAGTCATCAGCGGCATTGGTCTTCATTAGCCTCAGCCCACATTTATCTACATCCCGGCAGCCTCCAAACAGCTTTAAGTCCTTGTTTAATTGGAAAACTTTTAAATTTCATGCACTTTAGTTTCATATATTAACCGCCAGGCTCCCACTGCTTGATTTACTTTTCTATTTTGCCTCGGCCTCTGAGAAAAGAGAACTGTTATCAAATCACGGAGGCTTGATTGTTTTTCTGCTTTTTCTTGTGTTCTCTCACAGCTTTGAAAAACAGGACAAAGAGAAGCGTTTGTAATTCTGCCGACAATATCGCAAAGAATATTTTGCGCTTCTGACGCAGGTAAGCAATTCGTTGAATCACCGCTGAAACAAAAGCACCCAGGAAATTGCAATCTAAGTTTGTTTTTTTTTCTTCCTTTCTTTGCTTCAGGTTTCAGAAAGAAAGAGAACAGCTGGTTACAGTGACTTGTCTATGAAAACAAGCTGGAGGGGTTTTGGTGAAAACACTTGAGTTGTACGAAGCACCTGCACTTGATTGAGATCATTGTTTTCGAGGAGAGTGGCCCACTGCGTTGACTCTTGCCTTGTCTCACAAACACATTTATGTTCGCCCCCACACACACACACACACACATAGACGCAAACACACTGCCTCTCTGCCCACATTCTGATGGAGACCCCTGGATGGGGCCCAAGCACATCATCATCTTCATCATGTGGCTCTCTCAGCACTGGCGGCAGCTGCAGCATACTCGACATGCTGGGAGCTGGGTCCCTGTCACCCTGGCGACAAGCCACAGCTCAGCAGACGTCCCCTCATCTGGTCCTTTTATTCTCCTCCTGGGTTTGTTTGTGTGCGTGTATGTGTGTGTATGTATGTATGCGTCAGTCTGTCTGTGCCTACGTGCTAAGCAAGAGAGATGCAGTGTGTTTGTGGCTGTATGTGGGTGGCAGACAGACACCAGCTTGAAACAACTGTTGGTGCATTTGGGCTAAGGTTAGTGAGCATGTTTCATCTGTACAAGTCACAGTGAAAAACAGCCATTAGGTTATGTTTCATGACTGGTTAAATAAAAGCTGCTTTTAATTCTTTTTATTTGCCTAGTGGCTGTAAAAATTGACTTTCCACTTTGATAGCACAATACTTACTAGATACTTACTACTATTTACTACTACTACATTTTGTATCCTTCATATGTTCACAATCATCCATTTATTATCCTTCCAGCACACTTTCATATGAAATCATTCATCTATTTATTTTTTTCCAGATAAATCATAATGTCTCTGTCAAAAAATAGTGAAAAATCCCTATCCCCTTTTCCCAGAGCCAGATGTTAAAAGGTCCAGTGCGTAACACTTAGGAGGATCTAGAAAACACAGGAACAAAAAAATATAATATTTGGTATTTTTACTTGATAAATGGCTTAAAATCATTACTTGATATCAATTTCTTTCATTCGACTAATCCAATAATTGACTTGTTTCAGCATTAATCTTTGTATCATATCACAAAGAAAAGACTACCATAATTTGACAATTAGTTTCACTTATATTACGTGAAACAAACAGGCCTTTTCCATGGCTAAAACTCTTTTTATACAGTACAACCCTGCTCATTCCACATCTAAGGGACAGAAAAGAAAGAGTATTTTTATAAAGATTACCATAAATTAAACTCCATAAAAGGCCATTAAACCTACAAATTCCCATGTGCATCTGTGAACGCTCCTAACCAATTCAAAAGTGTGAATGAGCCTCATAAACCTAATGGCCAGCACAGATAACAGATCCAAAAGTCTGCTACAGCGAGAGGCTGAGGCAGATGCTACGGTTTGAAATCAAGTCTTCAAAACAAAAGTAGCAGCTTCATGACTGAAGTTATATTTGTATGAACATACATGTATTGCTACGGAACTGAAAATTGATGGAATGGGTGAAATCACAGAAACTCTAAAAATCTGTGCAACCCCCCAAAAAAAAAACATACATTCACAAATGACAGCTAGAAGACATCCACAGTCATTATCTGTAGCCTCCATCCTCTGCCAATTCCATAAGCAATTTTTTTTCCAACTTCCTAGGCTCGGTGGCTAAATAATACCGGGAGAACAGTGCAGAACTGAACAGAAGGCTAGTGTGCCAATTAGAAAAAGCAGCAGGCTTATTTCCTGTGCTGCAAGCAAGTGTGCTGGAGCTACTTCGAAGAAGCCTCTTCTCCTTCTTCTCTGGGCAAACTGAGGAGAGACTGCAGTCGACTTCCTGCCAGTCTTTTCATCTCTGCTGTCGTGACCCTTTGCCATCCAGAGTTTGAAGCAGCTGGACAGGAAATATGTTCAAACATGCATTCAGGCAGCAACAACCTACTTCTGTAAACACACCGTGACTCAACGTGTGTAAGGACACGCACGGATACAACAAGTGGCTGATTTCCGCCACTTCTGAGGTCAACGTTTTGTGCAGCTCGACAACTGATCACTTTTGTGGGAACAGAAGTTCTCCCTCTCTCACTTTCTCTTTCTGAGTCTCTCCATCCTTTTCTCTGCCAACTTACCCAGACTGCCCTGCTACTAGGACAGCCCCAAGACAGCCTGCCCTGGCAGCTGCCAGATTCTCTGTGCCCGCATGTCTGCTGGCCCTTCTGAGATGCCAGCTGCATCTGAGACCGGCATCTCAACCAGGGACGTGGTGAAAGAGGGAGAGGAGAAGGAGAAAGAGAGGAAGGAAAAGAAGAAATACACTTTGCACAGAGCAACATGCCTACAAAAACTGCAGCCAAAGCATTGCTGTCAACCAAGGTTCAGAGACAGATAGGGGGTTTTCTACTGTCATCACAGAGCTGTGTAAAAATCACAACTTTATATAACGCTGAAAGGACTCGATAGAAAAAGCAAGCGTGACCAAATATCCATTACATTTGGGCTGAATTTCAATAGAACTTGAGGCCAAAGGGTCTAAGTCAGTTTAATATGCTTGTCCCAGAGGTATTTTTAATCCGACCTCTGAAAATTCCCCCCATCTTGGGCGTGAAAAACCTGAATTATTCATAAGCAATATCAATATTTCAAGATATGGACTAATCTAATTGGATTAAAGACGTGCTTAATGAGGCCTTGCGTGTCTAAGAGATGCATATTTTAAAACCTGACCATTTCACCCAGTGTTTAATCCTCACTATGATTTGTTCATCTCTGTGTACTATGTGCCAACTGAAGCTTAATGAGGAAGTGAAGCCTTTTGGCTTTTGATGTGCTGTAAACATAACCAATTTTTAACGTCACAAAAGGAAAATAAACATGCAAAAAAAGAAAACATTGAACGTTTTCTGAATTATGTTTTCTTCCATTTTTAACAGCTAAGAAAAATCACTGAGGACCTGATTTCATCTGATGGTATTTGCAATTTCAAAGAGGATTTTAAAAAACCTATGACGGTAGATTCACAAGCCTTTTCATTGGCAAGAGCTTATTCTATATGGAGAAACCTTGAAATAGTAAAACTGTTTACTGGTAAGCCAACTGATTGAGGAAAAGCATAAACAGCAGTGCCACATTTGCCAGAGTGATAAACGTGGAGTCATCCATCTTTGCCTGCACAACAGCTCCTAATCGCTGCAGTGTGACAAAGCAACAGAGAGAGATGCACTTTTCTATCCTAGCAACACCCTCACCTCCCTTTACATTACCCAACTCGATCTCATCACTTTCTTATTTCCCTATTCTTCTCTACTTGTTATATGTTTCACTTCTCTGTCACTGTCTCACCTTGTCCTCTTCATTGCTCCTTTACCATTAGAAGAATAAGGAAACCACTGAATTTCAACCCTTCCGGGAATTCGTTATTTAAAAGCTGTGTTATGTTATCTTCGTTTTGAGTATTGGAAACTTTATTCTATGGAGGACTCTCCCATCCCGTCCTTTTCCCAAGATGGTTTTCAACATATGTAAGGATCTTCAAAGGCCAGGCAGGGGGCCACGTCACATCACTTCAGGTAGATGGATATTCCTACATTCCCTAAAGACCAAGAGTAAGTTGTGAGAGAGCTAAAAGTCTGCGATATGAAAAGTAATCTAGTGAGACACACTATCAAACAGACAGGCAGACAGACAGACAAATGGAAAGAAGATGGTTGGCACACAGACAGACAAGCAGATGGACCAAGATGGACAGGCAAGCGGAAATAGTGGAAGACGTAGATACAGAGGAGAAAAAAAGTCCAGGCCAGTCTCACCCTGAATCCAGAGGAATTCTTCTTTGCTTCAGCTTTCAGCCTCGTGGCTTTTAAGACCGACTTTGTCTTTTTGTAGTCCTGCTTTCCTGAAAGAAAGGAAACAATTGGGGCAAACAAATGAAATGGCTGAAAAAGTTACTGTGTCTTGCCAAGAAATAAGTCTAGTGGTCTTTATGCTAGGCTAAGTTAAACATCTCCTGGCTGTAGCTCAATATTTGATGGATATGAGAGGTATTGATCTCTTTATTTAACTGTCTGCAAGGAAGCGAATATTCCTGTGAGTTCTGCTGCATGTCCAAAGCTCAACTACAATAGCGGTCTCATATTAACTTGTCATCCCCTCTCTCTATCTTGCTTTTCTGGCTTTCTCTACTCTATCCAAAATAAAGCAAAATGCCAAAATATAGATATATAGATATAACATATTTGAAAAAATCAATTGCAATGAAAAAACAAGCAAAATAATGCAACTCATGGGACTGCTGACTTCTACTGTAAAATGTAATGTCTCATGGTTAACAAAATGACAAAATATCTACAATTAAATTTACCCAACACGATGGAATCTGAACATGTATCCAAAATACAAAGAATCTTTTCTGGCCTGAGTTCGCACACAGCTCACCTGTGCTTGTTTTGACTTCCCATGGGCTCAACTCTCAAGGGTGAGTCTTGTGGGCAAACCGGCCACCTGGCAAAGCATGTGTGTTTATGTGTGTGTGTGTGTGTGTGTGTGTGTGAGCGTGCTTCACATGAGGCAGAGACGGCTGTCTTGGTCTAATTAGAAACAACACACTGCAGGAAAAGGAACTTTGCTAACAATAGGGTGGAAAGGCAACAGCTTGCTGAACAGTGTGTGTGTGTGTGTGTGTGTGTGTGTGTGTGTGTGTGTGTGTGTGTGTGTGTGTGTGTGTTGTAGTAGTAGTACTTCTATCTTTGTGAGAACCAATTTATACGCTTGGATTGTGGACATATTAGCAGTTCCTAAAAGATGTTATTTATAAAATAAATTGTTCAGGGTTAAATTTAGAATTAGGATTAGGTTAAAGATGATAACTGAGGTTAGGCATGAAGGTCAGGTGTCTTAAATTCTTGGCTGGGGAATAAATGGACAGTCCTCATAAGGAGAGAGGTACAGTAGAGTAAAATATGTGTGTGTGTGTGTGTGTGTGTGTGTGTGTGTGTGTGTGTGTGTGTGTGTGTGTGTGTGTGTGTGACCAAACCCCCAGGTCAGCTTCAAGGTTTTCTCAGTTGGTTAAGTGACATGTGGAGGCCGCTTGGAGTTTTTACTCCCAGCCAATTAAGCCTAATTTACATTGTAAGAGCGAACAAAAGGAGGAGGAAGGAGAGGACAGAAAGCGAGTTAGGGAGGAAGGAGGGGCAAGGGTGTGTGTTGTGATCCTGAAAACAAACAGACGGAGCTGCATACAACTAAGTCTCTTTGGGAGCAGAGGTTCTCCTATTCTTGGGACAGCCACGGAGGAGAGAGGATATGACCATTAGCATAGCTTTCACTCCCCCCCCCCACTTCATACACTCTCAGTTCTCCTTCTCCATCCCTCCTGGTCCCAGGCTCCTCCTCTACCTCCCTCTGACTCAGTGGAGGGCTAATAGAAATGGGGAGCATGTTTCCAGTAGCAGACAGTGAGCTAGTGGGAATTCATTAGGAGGGCCACTGGATGTCTCCTCCACTTGTCAGAAAGTGGAGAGGGGGCAATTTGATTGGAGGGCACCTCAGGTTGCTCGCCATTCACAGAAAATTGTGCAGGGATTTTTTTAGACTGCGAATGGCTGGTTGTGATACTGTACAGGACTACTGGAAGACACATTACAAGCTATTGATCCTATATCCAACTAAAAAATACAGAAAGGTATATTGTGAAAAATGTACATAAAGAAATTCTTATGGTAATTATGTTATCTTACATGTCGCCGCAGGGCTTGTTGGTAAACTCCTGCAGCTGGTGAGTTAATCACTAACATGATAGCCAGATGGAAAAAGTGCTAGCAGAAGTAAGTCACAATTAGCTTCTTCTATTTTCTCTACATTAACTGCAACCCAGTTAAGAAAAAAATAGGATACAGGTATACACTTAGATTTAAAAATGAGGCCCAGAACTAAACAAGCTGCACTTTCTGTTTTGATACTAGTTTGCTTTGTCCAGCTATCTGTGTCCTCAAGCCAGCTTTATGCCCAAGGACAGAACAATATCAGAACTTAAACAAGCTGGGGTTTAAATTCCAAAGGCAGAATTGTTTTCCAGCATATACAACATCTTCCACAAACTGCTTACAAAACACGCACCTGTGCTGATTTTTTTTGTTTTTTTTTCTCATTCACGGTGCTAAACTTGTTCCAAGTCTACATGGAGAAATTACATTTATATGCAAAAATTCATCATAACCCAATACACCCATTACCATCTGGTAAGAATCAATACTTAACTGGCGCAAAATTAAGAATAATTCCAAGTAGGAGTATGAATAGTTGATATGGAGGAGAAATGCCAGAGAATTACATCAGGCTGTGTAAGGTATTGTAATGTTGTTGTATTACAGTGGTGCATTTCAAGCCTCATGTTGCTTTTCTCCTGTGGTTTACATGCGCCTGGAGCGTGCACAGACTCACACACACAGTCTAGATGATATTGCACTGGGCTTATGAGCACTCCTATTTGTCATTGCTGTTCTCCTTGCTGCACCAGCACTGTAGACATTTTCTGTCACCAATTATCTACCTGTGCTGGGCTATATGCCATCCTCCTATCCCTCCCCACTTCTGCCTGCCACACTGAAAAGGCATCATTGTCCCCCGGTACAGCAACGACAATGCTGTGTCTCAGAGGAACATTAGCCCTTATAAGGCAGCCTAGAGTGCCTGCTGAGAGGTTTCCCTGAGTGTGCCTTTCATTGAAGTCATCACTGATTTCATGTCAAGAGGACAAGAGAAAAGTGAAAGTGGCCCTCTCCCCCCACCCACACCACTTACTGTAGATTCCCTTAGATGTGTGTTTCATGGTTTTTCCTTGCTTGTTTCTCGTTGCATTTACCTGTAAATGATGTCTGATTAAGATGGAGGAGAAATTAGTTTTTATCTTGAGCTATTGTTCTGCTTAGCATAACGAGACAGGTAGGGGGTATTAGCTAAAATTATCCACATGTGATTGAGCACTCAAGGGGAGGAGGGGGGGTATATGATTTGTGTGTCACACAAATTGGCCATTAAAGTGAAGCTAGAAGAGGGGTAGACATCTAAGAGTATTGCAGTTTGTCTGAATGAAAAGAAACATCAGTAGTAAAAAAGAAAACAACTAACAACAACTAACTGCAGCAGTGGAATACTCCAAAATGGTGCAGAGTGAAAAGACAACGTGGATGATACACTAGCTTAAAAGCAGACTTCACTTGACTAAAAAGAAGCAGTAAGTAAACAAAGTTAGGGTTGCCCCGTAACAGTCAACTAAACTGTTAGTCGCTGAGAAAAATCTTAGCTGACCCACTTTTCATTAGTTGGATTAGAGCTGCGCCTTATAACCAAGACTAAATCAGGAAAGTGTTGTATCACAGACCGAAATCTAGCTGATTCTACCTGGACTGGGAGCTTGAAGGATGTGGAGAGGTTTGTTTACGCTACTAGCACAGGAGCAAGCATAGGAGAACTGGAGCCGGGCGAGCGGGCAACGGAACCGGGTTCACAGCCTCTTAGACCGACGGAGGCCAGGTGATTTACAGCGGCTCCGACCAGGACTCCGACTTCGGAGACGATGAAGACACAGTGGCTTAGGCGGGGACAGGAGAGGCATGAAACAAGAGAAGTGCGAGTTTGGAGAGAGTTCATTTCTGTTCAGTTCAGTTACTGTTAAGGTTATACATCATCCATTGTGTTGATAAGTCAGTAAGTATTTGCTTTTGTGAAGATGAAAGTTATGTATACAGCCCAAATTGTGTGATGTTATACTGTATTGAAATAAATGAACTAAATGTTCAGTCTCCTTGCTGGTTGGTCAGAATCATTACTGCGTTTGATTAGCAATTATTAGGCAGCTGATAATATATTTAAGTTAAATAATCAAATTAATATCATACATGTGCGACAACTAATAAACTATTAACTAACAACTACTAGTTGACTAGGAATATCTTTTAGTTGGGGGCAGCCCTAGACAAAATACAGTACAAGAAACTGCTTCAGGTGACAGATGATGGAGGGCAGAGTCAAGAGTAACATTACTACAGATCAACTGGTTTCCCTGTTGACTTTCTGCATGAATGCTTTTTAGCCAGAGTGGAACAGATGTTGGAAACAGGAAGATTACATTTAGTTGCCCTTATGAATTACTTATTGTTGTCATGGCCATCGGAATCTTCTTTGGAGTCTTGGTTGTGTGAAACTATGTCACACACAGGAAATATTTTTCACATTTTTAATTAAAAAAAAGTCTGCATGTAGAATTTGAGACTGCATTATTATTCAAAAATAAAATGGTAACACAATGGTAACATTAAGTAAAAAATAGAAATAATAGAGAACAGACTCTAGTATCTCATTATTATCTACTATATAGTCCTCAAATCAGAGTTATTCAGCCTTAACTTGCCATTACCTTTTCACAAATTAACAGGTCGTTCCTCACCTGTAATTACTCATTTCTGTGTACCGTATTGTGTAAGGGTTGCCAATAAAATTATTCTAAAAGTCAACGTAGCCAAAATCACTTCAGACGTTGTCTGTGATACATTTAAATACATGTATCTAGGGTAATAGTTGAGGCCCTGTACCACCTTTGCCTTATTTTGTGCCAGGAAACTGTACAGAGATTCAAGAATCCCTTTACGCAATGTTAAAATTCTGATGGGCTTGACAGAAAGGAAACCATCTTTGACAGCGCCTTGTCTTGTACCGTCTTTTGCCTTCACACCAAGTCATGATACTTGCAGAGAACAATGCACCTATTTGAGGTTAACATGTATTTTTTAGTAAGGAGTTTAAGTAAGCTCATGATACACATTTAAATTACAGTCATGCATCATGAAGTAAAACACTGCAGCTTCATAATTTGAACTTCAAATATTTGTTCTTTTCACCAGTAAATAAAGAGCTGACCCACCAGAATTACATTTCCGAGTCACCCACTACTGGATTAGCTGCTGGCATTAGTTGCTGCCTTATTTTTTTTTATATCTCTGTCAAAGTTTCCATATGTCAATCACATGTGCAAATCCAAAATCAGCTACTGCAAATAAAAGTTGCTCCTCAAAGCTGCATTTCAACCCAGTACGCCACTGCAAAAACACCTCTAGCTGTGTTGATATAACACATGAATGGCAAAAGACATGATGCTTCTCTGTTGAATGCACATATGCAACTTCAGGCCAGGAGAGTTCTAAAGAAACAAACCATTAATTATGTAAACTGTCTGATGTTTGAATTACAATAATAATATTTAAAGATGCGAGCAATAACACTGTTTGTTGGTCTATGTAAAATCCAGCCAGAACTGTGATGTTTAAAAAGCTACAGTACACAATGAGTCATGAAGGCAAAATTACAACAAACAAGCACGAGTGTGTCAGAGAAAAACACAAACATACCTGAGAAACCTAGCATGTGTGTGTGTGTTTGTGTCTGTGGGGACACAAACATGGGTGATTTGGGCAGACAGACCATTGTACAGTACTCTCTGAGAGCCCTGGGACAATTCAGGGAACACACTGTGGGACAATTCAGGGAACACACTGACAGCGTGACAGTTCCTCATGCTTTGCTTTGCTTCTGTGTGTCCATGTAGCATGGCGGCCAAATAGTCAGTGACCACATGGTGCGGATCACTGACATCTGCCAGGATACATGGTAGTGGAACGGAGGGCTGATGCCAGACACATGGGAGATATTCATGCCTTGTGCTTTGGATCATGTGAGGCGAGGAAAGGGGAGGCAAAAACTTGCAATCCATGTGACATTTACAGTCAAAGCATATACCGGTAAATCAACTAAATAAAGATTATCCATAATATAATTACAAGAGGAAAACCATTTTACCTTGATGATCCCTGCAGATGTGAGCAAAATATCTCAGCTACATATCACACATTTAATTGCAAGTATAATTTCATAGGTTTGATCTTCTTTACAATGAGAAATTTGGCCTCCTAATGGCAATCATTTCTGGTGTCTTTATCCAAGTACACAACTGCAGCAGCAATCATAACTTGAACAGTGACCACATGCACTTCCATTTCACACTATAACACTATAGCTTTATCGTTCCTAAGGGCAGCTTGGCACAGTCAATTATAACAGGCTTAATAATGGTATTTAAAAAGAGTGTCAACAGTGGCCCCTTGATGGCCATCTGACATGACAAAAGCGCTCCAGCAGAGATGATGGTACAGCTCAACAACCAGCCTGGACTACTGCTGATGTTCCATGAATAAGCCACCCTATTACGAATTCAAATTACCATGTGTGGCCTGTTCCAGCTCTCAAAAGAACCAGCCCCATGCCATCTTAGAAGATTTCATTTTCCTCTCTGACGACTTTTTCCCCCCTCTTTCTGTTTTCCACCTTTTCTGTTAAACAGTGGTTCACTGAAATTGCCTGATGGCCATTCTTTTCAAAAAGGAGGAAAAACGGTAGAAATTGACGGGTTGGAAGGAGGCAGAGAGAAGACCAAAGTGTCCCTGACAGCTGTGTTACATATTTTTGAATTGATGAGATGTGCTGAGAAACAAAACACTAAATGGAAAGGAAAAAAACAAGATTTTCTGCACCCCTGGTAGGTGATGTGACAGTGGGAGATGAGCTTGTTATGTTATGTCTGTTTTTCATTTGTTGAACCTGCCGGGTTTTACACAATAGCAGATGGTTAAGGGATACCTGTGGGCTAAATAATCCTATTCTTCTGTCCCTCTATGAAAATATATACAATTGTCATGCTGCTTTATGAGACCACAGCCCTTATAGCAATGTAGAGTAAACAAGACAGGGAAATTTCTCGACAGGCTTTCACGCACCTGAGAAAGACAAATATTGCTATTGCTAGAAAATTAACATTTAGCTTGAGAGCCTATCTCATGGGTCCTGTTAACTCAAAAGTAACACCAGGAAATATAAAACGTGGAATAATCAGAGGATGTGAATCACCAGGGGCCAACAAACGACAATCCACTGGGAGGAAGAGGACCAGAACAATGCCATAGTTGACACAATCTTCAGAAAGGGGGGATGTGGATTAGTACGGACCATTTTAATTGATAAATGAAAGAAAACAAGAAGGTAACGCTTTTTCCATTAAGACCAGAGGGGTGTGATGTTTTTGAGACAGAAAATCCATCTCCATTCAACCTGTAGCAGGCAGAAGAAACGGGTTGAATTGCTTCTTGAGAATGCCTGCCTATGGTGGATAGCCCTTTATGCTTTCTAATGGTACGAAGGTGTTCAATAACATATGTACTGACGCATACTGATGCATACTTGTGAAATACATGAAAGAAAATGTTTTATATGGTGTGCACAGTCACTGACCATTTTTGCAAGCAACACAAGAACAGTATAGAGAGAAAGTCAGGCACTTCATTAAGACATTTTTTCCACTTCTCTAGTCAAGAAAACAATTTAAAAGGATAACACATCTAAGGTAGCTGGTAGGGTGTAAGAATCCCTCTGATTAATGTTCACTTCAGATGTCTGATGAAAGAAATCGCCAGCATCTTTAAAATCAGATGGCAAATTGGGTACGACAACCTGCAAGATAGATGCTCAGCCAGCCATTGTTCTAGTGTTTCTGAGTCAGGACTTAAGTGGACAAGGAAAATATTAGGTCATCTGGGTTCTCCCCTTGTATGTTTAACCTCATCCCGGAACATGTAAAATCTCTGTAGGTCCTCTTCTAATTGCATTGTAGTAAGGTAGATGACTGGTCTAAAAATGCTGGTCAAAACTGAAGGTATAAGTTGATCTTTCCATGGCCATCAGACATATGGAATCACCATAAATGTACTTTGACATCATCGTAATCCTTGTAAGTCTTACCAGTTCTAAACTTTAGTCTTCTGGACTCCACTGACAAAACTGTTCTTGTTCACCTGATGTTAGAAATCAAGTGGTCTAAGCCGAAATATTAATTGTACAAGAACTTGCGTCTTAGACTTACCAAAGCCAGAGGTCTCCAGCGTGGAGACACCATAGATAAACTTTCACCTTCTGGGTGTATAACTCTCCAGCTCACCCTCGTATCTGTGATTGTTTCTCTACGAAGGATCTCATTCTTCCGTCGTCTCAGCTACTACAGCCCTTTTATAGGTAGTAAGTCCTAGTAACAATTCTCTTAGATCAAGACCAAGGTCTTTAGTAAGAGTCTCAAACCATTTGGTGCAAAAATCGTCTAAGTTTAAAAAACTTTAAACCAGTAAGGAGAACAGAGCTTTCCTTTGTGTTTGCGTCAGTCAGAGCTGCTCACAATTATCCAGCTTTGCCATTGGCGACCTTTTGGTTTTGCTCCACAAGAGGAAAACAAAAACAAAAAGACATGATACGAGCTGTGATCTTCAAGCAACCACAGCTGGCATGCTTAAGGGGACCAAACTTTTGATTGATACCGACCATATTGCCTTAGTTAGGGCTTTGTGATGTAAGGGGAAAGATGGGGAAACAAAATACCACAGGATTAGAGTGGTATTAAACTTTGACAAAACAGCTTCTGACATGATTTCAAGGGGCAGTTTTGCTAAGGATGGAGTTCACTGTCCGTCCATAATGTACCTTAGATTCTGCTTGTTCGTTTCTAAGTGTAATTACTTCCAAAGCTTGTATACTGGTTCTAATCCAGTGAGTCTGGTTTAAGTTTCTTTTCAATCCAATACAAACTGGAAAAGTTTCCAGGACTGTGCAAAGAGATTATGCTAATTTTTGCATAGCCAACATTGTTAAAAGTTTTCAAAAGATTTGAGCTGTTAGGCAGTTGGGGGTATATCTGAAACTACCACAGACTTGTTCACTGCAACACAGAATCATATGTGATTTATTGAGTGTGACATTTGATTGTTTCTATATAAGAACACTGAGTTGATTACTGTGTTGTGGTCAAATTGCCCACATCAAGCACTGAGTTATGATTTTTGTTGAAATGGAGTTACACAACAAGTCAAAGACCAATCTCAACTGTCGAAAAGCATCATGAACTAATTAACAGAACTTATTGTTTTAATTGTCAGTTAATACATTGATTATGTTTTTAATTATCTCCTTATAACTATCAATCATTTAGTATACAAAATGTTTTATTTGTGGCAAATGCCTGACAAGCCCAGACAATTTATGTTATGTTATGAAACAAAGAAGAAGAGAATGTTTCTAACCAATGTCAAGATATCAAATCAACTGAAAATACCAAATATTGTTACTTGACTTGATTACAGCTGACTAATTTACTGCTGATCAACAAGACTCACCAATTTGTTTTCGGTACTGATCAACTGGTAATCCCGTCGCACTGGCATCTTTCTTCCCCATCCTCTTTCCTCAGCCTGAGAAAAAAAAATTTGAAGAAAAACAACATACTGAGAATTTCACAGCTGGGTCTCAATGTTACACCTGATCATTTAGTTTAATCAAATACGGATATAGCTCCATTCCTGTTACTGTAGCCTGAGATAACGTGTGAAATCTGCAGGAAGGATTCAAGTTAATACACAATCATATATAGAGAAGAGGAGTCAGTTTTGATCAGGCAGATGGTTTATCTTTCACATACATCTACTAGACATAATTAAATTAATTCTCACCACCTTCCATGTGTGTTACGTTCACAGTATGCGCACTTCCTATCCATCTCATTTAGTCTAAAACCATTTCCCTTCACAGCACGAGCTCTCTTTGATTACCCTGACAGCTCACATGGAAGATATAAAGAGAAAGAGCTAGAAATAACACAAATACTATCCATACACTCAATGTGTAACTATGCAAGTGTAACAGAGTAAGTGACAAACTATAAGACACGAACAGTCACCTCTATTTACAAAGGGCAGAAACTCTGTTGCGTGTTTCTTGCATCTACCCAACATACTTGTTTCTCAGTGAGCACTCTGCTCTAAATTCCAGACAGGCTCCCTCACAAACACACAGCATCAATCAATATTGTAGCCTTTTGTTTAAAATAGTGGAAAAAGCAAGTATGAGTCGAGGGGCAGGCCTGCGCTTTCTGATGATACTGAAGAGCCCCTGACCTTTTCTCTGCCTGAAAGATTTGAGCGCGATTTGAAAGATGTGCGCAATATGCTTTGACAAATAATACTCAATATCTATCAAGTCATGCTAGTCTAATGATAATTATACTTTTTAAAAAAGCATGTTTAACTGTGACAAAGAAAGAAAAGTGTAAGCAGGAGTGCACAGGGGAGAACTGAAAGGGAAAAAAAGTATCTATGTGCATCCTAGAAGAACAGCAGTGGTGAAAAGTCTAGAGGTGCAGCCAGGGAATAGAGGAAAGAGACTGAATTAGCATGTTCAAGGAGCGTGGCTGGATGCTTGTGCTGACTGATACCTTCTCATGGGAGACTGCTGCCTTGGGAGACCTGAGTTTTACCTTACGCTAAAAACACTGTTTTCAGCTACATTTCAGACTCTGGTGCCAGCACAGGAGGAGGATGTATGCATAGCTATTGTTCTCCAGGTTGGAAACCAGAGTCAGCAAATTAAAGGAAGTGAGAGCAGAACAAAAGGAAGACAGGAAATTGTCCAAATGTAATGTTTACAGTTGGACACAGTATGCTCTCATATTTGCCGGCTATATTTTACTGTGCAGAAACATCACAATTTTATGTCTAAATTGCCAAAAGCAACACATTTGAAGCCTGTGGTCATTCCACTCTACAAATTTTCTACAGATGTAGTAGTATATTTTGCATTTGCAACAGTGGGGTATAAAGACATAGCAAAGCAGTGTGCTGACTATTCGAAAAAATATCTAAGCATAGTGACAGGAGCACTGCTGGTGCTGATAAAATAATACTTTCCTGTAAGTTTTTGCTCTTTATTTACATAGCTGACATGGCTGATATTACATTCTAGTCATTAACTATGTTTATCACAATCCTAATTTACTGGAAACATAAACTAGGGCTAGCAAGTGATTTTTTTAATGATGGCTTAAAGTCATAGTCATTCCCTTAAAGTCCAGTATGTGACATTTAGGAGGCTCTATTGGCAGAAATGGACAATAATATTCATAGTTATGTTTTCATTAGTGTATAATCACCTGAATTTAGGAATTGTTGTGTTTTTGTTACCTCAGAATGAGACGTTTTTATTTACAGACTCCACGGGTAGTCTTCCATGAAGTCAGTCATGTTTCTACAGTAGCCCAGAAGGGACACACCAAAACAGGGGCATTTGTGTTTCTCGCACATTTCATGGCCACCATAGTTTCTCCTTCAAACTTGGAAGGGGAGGGTGAAGCAAGACAGCTGCGATCTGCAACTACACTTCTAGATGCCACCAACTCCTTCACACTGGACCTTTAACTAGAAGGCCTATAGGTTCCATCCCTGGTACAGTAAAATCTGCCGTAGCACCCTTGAACAAAGCACACACTTGAGTAAAAATATTAATTAAGGGCCAAATGTGTTTTTTTATTTGTTCTGCACAAGGTTACAACACAAGTTTCATCTAGGGAATACTGTACATGTCTAAAACACCCACAAGCCGACTGTAATGAAAGAACAGGAATGAATTATTTGGTATACAGTTTCCTTAAGACTTCTTTAATAATCCAGATTGTCTGCTGACAAAACAAAAGCATGACCATGAGTAATGCTGTGTGGAAATACACTCAGGTACTCCTTGCTATAATGTAGTCTAGTACAACAGCCCTGTAATAAACCATACACGCATGAGATTATAATGTTTGTTTTTTTGTTAAAGCTATTTTAGAGAGGTGTTGGTGATCAGCCCCTCATTGATATTAATAGAGTGAACAAGACATTTGTAACACTCTAAAACTGTTTTAACAAAAACATTTCTTAAGGTAAGATTTATCTTTTAAGGATTTTACTTAACTTAGTTAACATTTTAAATGCTGGATTTTACCTTGTAGCTTTTCTACATTGTGTTATTGAATCTGAATATTATCTCCACCTCTAGAACGGAGTGTCGGTACATGCAATTGAACAAAGCTTGTTGTTGTGGGGCACTGTGGTCATTGGAGTTTAGAAGTAAAGATTTCTCTCGGTCAGCATTGTGGATAGTGACCTACTACACGTTACGGTTACAGTCTAAATGCATGTATCTGCAATTTATTTCTCTCTGCAGTCCCGAACATGTTGAATAAAGTCTTAGCGCTTGCAGGACTCTTTTAAAAAAAAAATCTATTCTCGTATTTATTTGCAGAGCTCTTATGTTAGCTTTTGAGCAAATGCATTTATCATTCATTGGATAGAAATATTCCAGTGGAGATGTAATTGACTACAAACAGGCTTCATTCACGAAGATACTTACTTACTTACTGTTCGAGAGAATATGTCGCTTTGTAGAGGTGTTTCTAAACGCCTGGCTGCTGTATGCGGACACGCAGGAGGTCAGAATTGACAGTTTTATTGCACTTTGATCCAAATTTCGCTAGAATGCCAACACACCACTTCTTATATTCCCAGTTCCTGGTTACACGTCAACACTGATGACAGGCAGTCTTTTCCTCCAATCAAACACGGGTATTTCTCGACTTGACCAATAGCACGAGCGTGGGGCGGGACCTTCAGACAAAAACACTGGAGGAGCGCGTGATGAGTTGGTTAGACGGACACTCCCACTCATTTCAAGACAAAACCCTTTGGATGCAAACCCAGCAAGTTTCAGTAAAATGATATGTCATTAAATAGTTCTACAAATAGTCAGTAGTGGAAGAAGTATTGAGCACCTTTACTACACTGTGAAAATACTCCAGAAGAATGTGGCCCTGTATTATCAGGAAAATGTACCTAAAGGTCCGGTGTGTAACATTTAGGAGGATCTATTGGCAGAAATAGAATATAATAGTCAAAGGTATGTTTCCATTGGTGTATAATCATCTGAAAATAGGAATAGTTGTGTAATCGTTACCTTAGAATGAGACGTTTTTATCTACACAGGGAGTGGGTCCTCTTATAGGCCACCATGTTGAAACACCATGTTGTTACAATAGCCCATAATGGACAAACCAAACACTGGCAATAGATAAACTATTAGAGCGGCCACCATAGTTTCTCCTTCAAGCTTTGAATGGGAGGGTGAAACCAGGGAGTTGCAATCTGCAACTACACCACTAGATGCCATTAAATTCTACACACTGGACCTTTAAAGAATCAAATGTAAACATAGCCTACTCGCTACGCAGATTATATCACTGGTGCATTAATGTGTATGTTGCATTTTTTCATTTTAACTATTTTAAATAGTAGTATTAGTATTTGATATTATAGTATACACTAGTATTTATAATGCTCACAATATATTTTGTTGTTAATACTTTTACATAAGTAAATATTTTTAATGCAGGACTTTAACTTGTAATTGAGTATTTTTGTTGTGTGGTATGCTACTTTTAATAAAAAGTCCAGAGTGTAGGATTCAGTGAGATCTAGCAGTGTTGTTGCAGATCACAACTCCATTTTCAAGTGGAAGGAGAAGCTATCAGCCAGTGTTTGATTTGTCCCTTCTGGGCTACTGTAGAAACATAACATGGTGGACTCGATTGAAGTTGACCTGCGGTGTTCACCGATATCACTGATGCTCAGTAGTTGAGTGCCAATGAGCTTCTGGGCTCACTCGCTGCAGAGTACTCCTGGGCCGTTAATATTGCTCACCAGTTTGTGATGTTTCCAGTTAAGATGCTTTCTATTTCTCCTCTGTAAAAGTTAAATCATCATCACAAAGACCTTGTGCGCACCTGAATGTTACATGCCAGGATGCCTTGCATCTTTCTAAAATTGAAACCTGTTACTGTTTCGAGTGACAAAGACACATGTTCTATTAATTAAAGAGTCATATTAGTTAGACATGTTGGCCTTAAGTCATTCTCGCTTTGTCAGATTACAACAAATGGCGTAGTTATCCTTGTTGAAAACAGTAGCATAATGCTGTGACAATTAAAGGAAGCAACAGCCGACCTCATCAAAGACGAGGCAATCTCACTCTGCGATGTTCATTTCTCTTTCATCAGTCTTTTTACATTTTTTCTTTGTTTACTGTGTAGAATTTTATTTCCCCCCTAATTGCATCCAGCCTCATTGCTGCCTGGGGCATTGTGCAGATTACGGGTAGACTTGCCACCGCTTGTAACTTATTGAAGTTTAAAATGATTTTCTGCTCTCCCATGGGCATGCCATTTGCATGCAGCACAGCAGTAACTAATAGATGTAATCTTGCTATAATGTGCCTGCATTATGCTTTTCTTTATATGACGCTTTCATTTATAGCGAGCCCTTAAACACAGTTACTTGATGGAAGTATTTGAATGACATTTGTCAATGATATTTTTAACTACAGAAATATTGCCAAGGAAACAGGAAATTGTGCTGCATGTTCGCGTAAAAGGCGTTCAGCGCGACACTAAAATTACATGAAAGTACATGTAAGGCCTGCAGTTTAACTTTTACATATTATAATGTTATACTATATAAGTGGATGTGATTCATGTGTGTAAGTCCTAAAGCTGCTATGACAGCTAAGTTACAACTGTTAACAAATAGCCTTAATAAGAAGCCTGAAAATGTTATCTTAATATGGCCATCAAAAGCAGCATGAGTGTAGTTAATGCAGAGCTCAAATGTTCTCTTGTTATACTAAATGTGTGTGATTAATTTCTCCCGTTGAGTGAAACAAACCAACGTGCTGTGCCTGTCACATTGATAGATATGGAAAGCATTAGCATCAACTGTTAGTGTGAACGAAAACTAGGCACGATGGATTTGCCTGATGAGCAGTTGTAGTGTATGGACTGTGCACATCACTGTAATGTATAGATAACACTTTAGAGGAGAAGAGAGGATTTCCCTCAGGGCCTGTTAGTGTGAAGTGAAAAATTTCACCAACGATTGAGTACCCCTTGTTAAATTAAATAGAACTTCAGCTGTACAAATGGCTGCTGTTTTAAGTGACCACACCACAGAGACAGTATGAAACTGTTTAGTCTTGGCAGTTTTCCTAACATGATCATCACATTTTTTAGATCTATTTGTGTTGTGCCTGTTTCTATGTGTCTCTCTTATTTCTTCTCTGTCTCTCCCTCCCTGTCTCTTTTTGAATTTCACTCTTTTACGCTCACACTCCCTCTATTCCGCTCTCTCCCCATCACTCCTTCTCATGCAGTTAGACGGCCTTTAATTGCCAGACATTAAAAAGAATGCTAGAGAAGAAGAATCCCCAGGGGCCATTGGCAGGCTAAATGGCAGCTCTACTGCCATCGCCTCCTCCTACATGCAGCAATGAAGACGTGTCAACATAATCTTGGGCAATTTGCAGTCATCATCAGGGGGACTGATTAATTTTCTCACTGTCTGTTGTAAACAGCAAGATTGTATTTCTACATTTTTTAAGGTGTTGTTAAAGGCAGATAATAGATTATTTTAAAAGGGGCTTAAGGCCCCGACACAGTCTATACTTATAGAGATCTTACATATTTATTGTATGTCACAGTGTGTGAGATAGATCTAACAAAATGGTAGGAGCAATCTCTGTACAGTATCAATTCAGAGGCATGTGAGATTATGAAATTGATTCCTGAATTGTAGTGTCATGATATCAATCAGAAAAAAGAGACATGTATGCAGAGACACTTCAATTACTGGTGTCACCATTTGTGCCGCCCTCATGCTTTGAAAATGCATCCAGTATGTTCTGCAACATTTCATGCCGTATTCAGATCAGTTGGGTTGTAGCAGCAGCCATATTGTGAGAATCTAGACATAAATTTCTGATAGTGTCAAAATGTCAGAATGTTTAACAGCTATCAGCAGACATGCCTCACAGTGCGATAGGACCATAGGTTTGATGACCAAAAGTGTCACCGCATTTTCTCATGATTTAAGAAATAAAAACTTAGACTGACAATCTTGAAGTCTTATGTGGTACCCAAATTCTAAGTTTAGTTTACTCATATCACCCTAATAGATACACTATTAAAATAGGTTCCTTAGACAAAATAAAAATAGCATTCCATAAAACAATGTTTTACAACACTAATGCATATGCACACAAATACACGCAATCCTCTAAAATTTGTCATATGAATTCTTAGAGACTGAAGTTGAGTGTTCCCTTTTCATTTCCATCCTCAGTCATGTTATTGGTTTGGAGGAGAAGACACAATTCTTCCTCCTGTTTAATATTCTTATCTCAGTTTTCCCGCTATGCCTGCAGTGTGCGGTGAATTCTCTCCCCCTCTCTATCTCCCAGCCCCAGAGTTCCCTCTCATTGACAGGGAAACTGTATCAGCACAGATACAGAGTGAAATGAATTTGGGGTTTATGAAACGCAAGGCGTCAAGTAAGAAAAAAAGTCCCACAGACGTAGAGAGATAAGTTATCGTACAATGGATTTAGTCCTGTTTCGCTCCAGTCATTATCCTGTATCGGAGCATAGCGACTCTGATGGCAGGGGGTTATCCTCCAGTGTGGCGAGGGTTCGGATGTGTCAGGGCTATCACGGTAGACATCCCTTTGTCATCCGCAGCATTTGGCAAAGACTTGAGAAGAATCATATGCAGGAAACAAAGTTGAGCATCAAACACAAAAACAATAAATACACAAAATGTATACTTTACCTAACAACCTATCTAACCTGTGTTTATCTGTTTTGCCAAAGGTCTTTGCAAAGAATTAAAACAAAAATAGTATTAAGTAAAAAATATATGCAGAGTGGAAATGCAGCTTTAGCCTCAGTCATTATCTTTAAACCAAAAACAGGCAGCGGTCAAAACCAGGCAGGCAAACAAAGAAGACAAATTTAACTATGTAAGGGGCAGGTGAAGAATCAAGTGGGAGAAATTTGGATTTAAGCAGGTAGGATCAGGCAATATGAACACTTGGCTCAATGCAAAGAACACAGTATGGCCAAGGACTAGTGGAAGTGTGCCGGTATATACACTACTGAGTTAATCAGAGGGAATGGGAAGCATATGAGTAAGTGGGTGGAGCAGATCAGGTGGAGAAACTGGCAGGGAGGACAGAAGGAAGTGGCTGGGTCTGAAACAACAAGAGAGTTAATCTTTTAGTACAACATTGCGTTTGTAGACATCAAGTGCACATTTATATCCCTTTTACATGATTCCCATTTTTAAACCATTTGAAACATAAAAAAAAGTCAACCTGAGACAGCATATGTGCTATGTGTGAATAGAAAGTTTGATAGGCATAGCAACTGAAGTGAAGAGGGCAGGCCTTAGTTGATCAATTCTTGATCTCCACAGTCTCCAAATGTAAGACAGAAGGGAAATTAGCTATTAACCATTTAACATTAAGTTAAAAAATGTAACCTTTATTGTATTGCAAGAGAGAAGATTGGGTTTTCCTATTGACTTTGACAGACCATTTATTCAGTAATTTTGGAACTAGCCTCTCGTGGCTGTTAGAGGAACTACATCTTATGTAACTTCCACATTGGCATTAACATTTTTTGGATCCCCATTGGCG